CAGGCACAGTTCTTTACTGAGAAAGCAATTTAGCACAGCTAAGTGTGAAAGTATAAAAAAGACAGCAAGTGTCAGGGTTCTCTTCTGCCCAACAAGACAGTCTTCAAGCAGAGTCATGGGTTTAACAGTATTGAGTTTATGCAAGAGAATTTCACAAACATTTGTATTGGTGAGGAGGTTGGTATGAGGGACTAAACCCACAGCCTTTGCATGCTAACCAAGCACTCTGCCACTGAGCTATACCTCCAAGCCTACCATAAATATTGAAACTAAATCTTTTTGGGTGGTTTGTTTTGTTTTGTTTTGTTTTTTTTAACGGAGGAGGCACTACTGGGCTTTAAACTCAGAGCCTCACACTTGCTAGGGAGTTGTTCTACTAATAAGCCTTATTTCCAGCCCTTTTTATGCACTGGCATAAACTCTGGGCCTGGGCACTATCCCTGCGCTCTTCAACTCAAGGTGAGCGCTCTACCACTTCCAGTTTTCAGGTGGTTAATTGGAGATAAGAGTATCATAGACTCTCTTGCCTGGGCTGGCTATGAACCACAATCCTCAGATCTCAGCCTCCTGAGTAGCTAGGACTATAGGCTTGAGCCACTGGCGCTCAACTTATTTTATTTTTTGGCCAGTCCTGGGGCTTGAACTTGGGGCATGGGCACTGTCCCTGGCTTCTTTTGCTCAAGGCTGGCACTCTACCATCTGAGCCACAGTGCCACTTCTGGCTTTTTCTGTGTATGTGGTTCTGAGGACTCAAACCCCGGTCTTCATGCATGCTAGGCAAGCACTCTACCACTAAGCCACATTCCTAACCCCTGGCTATTATTTTTAAGAGAGAGTCTTGCTTCCTACCTAAGCATGCCTGGACCTATTTTAGCTCCCTGTCGTAGCTGGGATAACAGGTGAGTGCCACAATGCCCAGCTTCTTCTAAACAATGGCAGCCACAACTGCAGCTATCCCTCAGTCCTCACACACATTCAAGAGAAAATGTTTTTTAGTTTCTAGAGACAAAGAGCCTACAGGCTAACAGAGGTTCCAAGTATCCATTTCAAGCCATCTTAAGAAACGTTGGAGATGGGGGTCTCGTGGGCAACTAAACTTTTTTAAAAATCAAATTTTGTTAAAATTAATAGCCAAAAAAATCAAATTTTGGGGCTGGGAATGTGGAATAGTGGTAGAGAGCTTGCCTACCATTCATAAGGCCCTGGGTTCGATTCCTCCGTACCACATAAAAAATAAATAAAAGATGGGCCTAAGAATGTTGCTCAGTGATAGAGTGCTTGCCTAGCATGCATGAAGACCTGGGTTCAATTCTTCAGTGCCAAATAAGCAGAAAAAGCCAGAAGTAGCACTGTGGCTCAAGTGGTAGAGTGCTAGACTTGAGCAAAAGCAGCTCAGGGACAGTACCCAGGACCTGAGTTCAAGCCCCAAGATTGGCTAAAATAATAAGAAAGAAAGAAAGAAAGAAAGAAAGAAAGAAAGAAAGAAAGAAAGAAAGAAAGAAAGAAAGAAAGAAAGAAAGAAAGAAAGAAAGAAAGAAAGAAAGAAAAGAAAAGAATACATTAAAATGAGTTTTATTCAAAGTGGCGTGCACAACCTGCATTCCGGTAAAGAAGGAAGGTTTGTGACACCTTGCTGTGCCCCAATAAACAATACTAACCTGCTTAAAAAAGAAAGGAAAAAAAATATTTTTAAAAATCAAATTTTGCCACACAACTCATGCGCTGAGATGGTAGGGAGAAAAGGAATAGGAGAGAATAAGAGAATAGATGATACTATGCAAAAGAAAGGAAATGTACTTATTACCTGACATATGTAAAGGTAACCCTGTTATATATCACCTCTAAAACAATATATTTTTTTAAATCCAATTCTGGGCTGGGAAAGTGGCTCAATGGTAGAGTGCTTGCCTTGCATGCATAAGGCCCTGGGTTCAATTGCTCAGCACCACATAAGCAGAAAAAGCCAGATGTGGCACTGTGGCTCAAATGGCAGAGCACTAGCCTTGAGCTGAAGAGCTATGGAGCAGCATCCATGCTTAGTTCAGGCCCCACAACAGACAAAAAAAAAAAAAATCAAATTCTGTAACTGACTAAAAGGAAATAGATGAGTACAACATATTTTTTTTAATTGATGTTTTTAATATAGTCTCACTGGGCACCAGTAGCTCACCCCTGTAATCCTAGCTTCTCAGAAGGCTGAGATATGAGGATCATGGTTTGAAGTCAGCCTGGGCAGGAAAATCCATGACGCTTTTGTTTCCAATTAACCACCAGAATGCCAGAAGTGGAGCTCTAGCTCTAGTGGAAGTACACTAGCCTTGAGCAAAAAAGCTCATGGACAACACCCAAGCCCTGAGTTCAAGCCCCAGAAATGGTGCTCCCTAAAAAATGTATTCTCTGAATCCCTAAACACACTTTCCAGTGGAGAAAAGGGCAACTCTATTCTAGGGTCTCAGCTATAGTGTTACCGGTCCTGCCTGATTACCAGAAGAAGAGCAATATTCTCTAGGCCCCACCTAGCACTCCTTTAACAGGACAGGACATGAGAAGATGGAAGAAGGCCAAGACTTAGCATCAGAAGACTTGCCTACAAGACCAAGCACAGGACCCAGTTTTTTCACCCCTAGAAATAGGAATATATTATCTAGCCATACATTCTAATTGAGACATTGTGAAGTTCTATAGAAAACTTGAACAGAAATGTTCAACACATATTAAATATGACTTAGAAAATGGTAGCTTTAGGAGCAGTTACAACTTCTGTGTTCTAAAGATAAAAAGGGGTGGCTCAAGTGGTAGAGCACAGTCCCTGAGCAAGCAAACCATGAGCATGAAGTCCTGAGTTCAAGCCCTAGTAACAAGCACAAAACAAAACAAAAGTAGGGGAATTGAAAAGGTCTATAAGAGGTTCTAGCTGCATAGAAGTGTTTCCCTCAAAACCCTTTTGCAGAGCCTGGTCTGTGAGCCACCTCTTGACAAAAGTAAGTCTGAGTCAAAGCCCCAGAAAGAACGAAAGGGATAACCTACCAGAACCACAGTGGGGACACACAAGTTCCCACACAAATCATAAGCATTCTCCTACAGTCTCTGTCCAAGACGTTTTCTGCCCTGGAATTCACTGTTATTGTAACAACAGGAGCCAGTTTCTGAACTGAGAGAGTGGAAAAGAAGAAAAAGTCCATTTTTCCTTGTTTCATTCATCCTGTTACTGTGATCTCTGCCCAAAGCTGTGACATGCAGAGCGGTGGCGGTGGCGGTGGAGCAGTGAAGAGGACAGCACGGTTGTCTGGATGATGGGCTGATTCTAGGTGGTGGAATCAGCAGAGCTAGGTCCCTGAAATATGATGTGAGTGCTGTCCCTATAAGCTCAACCTCTGCAATATTCCTAAGAAATGCCAGACTGACTCTCTAGGTAAAACTTAAAACATACACACACACACACACACACTTCCTAATAGCTGATACCTAAAATTCAAAACTTCATCCCTTTAGCTCATGTCTAAAATCTAAAACACCTCCTCTGTCAGGCATTCATATTTTAAAGTTTAAAATATATATATCAGCAAAAATAGTTGTCACTGGGACAAGAGAGATGCTACTCGGGGCCTACATAACAGTTCCACCTGTCTTTCCTTTCACAGTCCAATGAAACCAAGCTCTGAGCTGGGTTTCAGAGGCCTGAGCAACTGCAAGGTTAATTTGTAAGAATGATCTATCTTGAACTCAACAGACTGAGTGCTACATTAGTACACAAGCCTCATTTGAAAGTCTGTTCTTGGGGGAGATGGAATCATATCCAGCCCAGCCATGGAAACTAAAGGGTGGCTTCCCAAGAAAAGGTCTACCTCGAATATCAGCCTCCGGATCCATACATGAGACACCTCACCCATGAAGACCTGAACTTCCTTTTCCTACTTCTATCAGCAGATACTCAAAGAGACATTCCCTCACTTGAGCTTGCTTAATGTCAAAACAATCCACTATAAACTCTTTCCCCACCCTACTTATACCTCCCCCACCTCTACCCTCCCTAACACACACATACACACACACACACACACACACACACACACACACATCTGCACAATACCGTTCTTCAGGCCACAGCTTTGGGCAGATCAGTTACAGGATGAAATAACTGAGAAAAGATCAACTACATGTTCTGCTATATAACTGTATTTTAAAAGGGCTCCTTTCTACTTCAAGCGTATACCAGGGATCCAAATGCCTGACAAGGCTTCACAAGTGTAGAGGGGAAGGAAATCAGGACATACGAAAAATAACACGGAATTCCCTACTCTGGCAGAAGAACCAGAATAAGTCAACAAGTGGTCCCAAGAACTATACTATGTCAAAGTCAAAAAAGGCCATTTCACTCCCTACTGGTAAATAGGATTCCATCTAAGGACTTGCTTTGATATTTCATACGGGCAGAGCTAAGAGACAGCAGATCTCCTTAAGGGAAGGGAAGGACTACGATTCTCATAGTAAGAAGGATTAGAAAGGCACACCTGAACGATAGGCAAGAAGCCCAACATAGCTGGCCCAACCCAAATGTTCTAGGTCCCTGCCCCCCCCCCCAGCACACTCGTGCTCCTAAGTGCTAAAACTTGGTGGGGGGCGGGGAGGGGGGAAGGAAGGTATCATCTGGACAGGGCATTCTTTACACAAGTAGTCCTGAGTGGGGTCTTGCCTTGCTGATCTGCTACAGGGCGATGTGCCCCCAAAGGCTTCCCACCGCCAACAAAAGGCATTCTGAGGAGGGATGCAGAAAGTTTATTCGGGAGACACACGTACCATTAGCCAGTGCAACGAAACAGAAAAAGAAAATAGAAAAAAACAAAACAAAACTTCTCAGACTAGGACTAGGCAGGGCCATGTGTGGACCCTCCACTAACCCACGGGTATCCATGTAGATTCCAACGGCCCGCTTCAGGTCACTGGGCTGGGAGTCAAAGCCCCCAGCCTCCGTCCGGCCCGCGCAGCAAGGCCTTCCTTACCTGCTGCAGTGGACTCCTCGTTAGTCGCCCCGGAACCGGCTCCTGCCGCCTTCTCGCTGTGGCTGTGGCTGAGGCTCTGGCCCTGGTGCAGGAGGAGCCCCCAGAGAAGCCACAGGGCAAGACGGGCGCACACCTCCATGACCGTCGGTCTCAGTCACCATGCGCCTGGTGTGGACACCTTGGGATCCCGGAGGCAAAGCCAGGAGCCCCGGGAGCGCAGCCCACAGTTCCTAGGCAAGCTGCCCTCGCCGCGCCGCAGCTGTCCAGCCACCTGCGGGCCTGCCTCCTCCGACAGCCAAAGGTCAAGTGCTCCCAAGTTTGGGCGCAAAGAGGGTCCCACGGTGTGGGTCGGGCCGGGCTTGGGCGGCGGCGGCCTCCACTCCGGCCGCTTCCGGAGAGTTAGGACAGGGTGGCCGCGGGGCCGCAGTCGGCTCCGCAGCCGGCCGACGCGGGAAGGGGCGCACGGGCTCCGCCGGGGTGGCGGAGGAAGCGCGAGGGAGACGAGGTGCGAAGCGGTGGCACCTGGCCTCGCCCCGCCGAGGAGGAGTCCGAGCCACGGAAGCTCCGGAGGGAAAACGTGCGACCCGCAGGCCCCCCAGGGGGCGCGGAGGTGCCCGGGATCCTCAGACTCCCGGGCCGAGGTCAGTGCACTCACTCAGTCCCGTGCCCAGTGGGCCCGCGCTGCCCCGCTCCAGCAGGCGGACGCACACGGGCCAGGCCCGGGACAGCGGCTCTCGGGCGGGCCGACAGGCGGGCGGGCGGGCGGGCGCGGGCCGGGCGGGGCGGGGCGGGGCGGCCCGGGGCGGCCGCGGGCGGGCGGGGGCGTGCTCTCCGTCGAACCCGCCCCGCGCCGCCCGGCCCCCGGACAAGCCCAGACCCGCCCCAGGGCCGGGGCTCAGCGAGGAGGAACCTGTGGGAGGCCGGGATCTCCTGACCGCCCCCCCCCCCACCCCACCCCAGCTCAAGATCTTCGTCCGGACCCCTACCTCAGCCTCCCTCCGCCGCCCCCCGAGTCTCCCGCGCTAACCGCCCGCCTATCGGAGGGCCCGACACGCAGTTGCTCAGGTAACCTAGGCCTGCGGTGGCGGCGGCGGCGGCGGTGACAGCAACTGCCCCGCCCAGATACCCGGGCCGCGGTGCTGCTCCACTCGCCTCAGCGCTAGATCCCAAGCTGGACCAAGGACCCCACGCAACGAGAGTCGGCCCGGGGCGTCGCGGGAGGTGACTACGGCCCCGCTGCGTTTGGCCTGGGGGCGCGCTCCCCCAACCCCCCCCACCCACCCACCACCCCTACTGGCCTTCCAAGCCCCGCCCTCCTTACGACCTCACAACCAATCGGCTTCCGTCTCTCTGCGGCTTTGGAACCAGTGCACGTAGGCTCCCGTACGTAGCGACCTCTGGTGGGAAATTCTAGGTACTGCAGTCCAGATGAGCTCCCGGGAGGCCCGGGGTCTCTTGGCAGAAAGGGTTGAGGTGAGAAACTAGGATCCGCCCCTAGAGGTTCATGAAGAGTCTGCGAGTCTTTCCAAAGGAAATTATTGCAAAAAGCCAACTAGAATGTCCAGACCACTCTGGATAAAGTTCCACTTATACAACTGCCTTCTTGACACCCCCCAACCCCCCCCCCCCCGTTCCCTCCTTTTCAAGCTAAATCGGATGCCCTTGCTTAACACTCCCTGTCCGTTTTCCTACCTGCCCCTCAAGGCTCCACCCTCTTGAGGTTTTTGCGGGAAGGGCCTGTGGCCAGTTCCCCCATGCATCTCACTCTCCCTGCCCATGGAGCCTGGTGGGGGGAAGTGGCAGCGACTTGAGAATGAGAGCCCCAGGAAAGAGCAAGCCGGGCCTGAGCCTCCTTCAGCAAAGCTGCATTTCCTGCTCTCAAGCACACCGTCAGCAAATCTTTACGGAAACCTCTGCGCCCTACCCTGTCCTTGCCACCGAAGGCAGGAGAAGGAATCAGGCCCAGTCGTTCCTCTGACAGTAATAAACCAGCTCTTGTTCTAAGGAAAGCCTTTGAACACTAGAGCGTGGATTTGTCCAACAGCTGCCTGGCTTAATGGGTAGGCTGTTGATATAAAAATACATATCCAACGTCAGCTACTACCACTCTCCCCACTCTAGCTGGCCCTGACACTGACTTGCTGGCTGGCTGGCTTGCTCTCACTCTCTTGCTCGGTCTCTTTCTCTCCCCTCCCTCCCTTTCTTCCCTAGTAGTGCTGAGGATCCAAACCCAAGCATCAGGCTTGCTAAACAAGCATTTCACCACTGTGTCACACCCCCATCCTAGAGCCTTCTGTGAAGTTGCCAATGCACACCTAACTCTTGGTGCATTCACAGCCTCGATTTCTGTGTGCAGCTGCTTCTGCCTGAAACTTTCCTCCCTATCCTGAAGCTCTTCATATAGCTGTTCTTCCTTTGAAACTGCACACCTTCCGTGGCAGGTGGCTTCCATCAATAATCTTTAGCTAGCATGGAGGCTGAGATCTGAGGATCAAGGTTAGAAGCCAGCCATGTAGGAAAGTCAATGATATGCTTATGTCCAATTAACTAGCAAAAAGCCAGAAATGAAGATATGGCCTGTACACACAAAAGAGGGAAGGAAAGGAAGGAGAGAGGGAAGAAGGAGAAATGAGCAAGTGCTGAGGTTGTAGCTCAACTGGTAGAACACTTGTCTAGTAAGTGCCAAGTCCTGGGCTCAATCCTCAGTACCACATCAAAAAGAAAAGAAAAGAAAAACCATTTTGTTTGCTGTGTTGGAACATCCCTGTAATCCCATCACTCAGGAAGTGGCACCAGAGGATTAAAAGTTTGAAGCCATCCTGGATAACAAGACCCTATCTCAACATAACAAGACCCTATTTCAAAAGCACCAAAATAGAAATTTTTTATAAGTGCAAAGTAAAGCATGCTTAACACAACTTCCTTCAAATTTGACTACATCATTTCCCTTAGCCACCGCATGATTTCTTTGGGTGTATGAGTACATGACCTACTTGGCACAAAAAGTCTGAGTCTTAGAAACAAGAAACCAGGGTCAGCCAGTTACCAATTTACATCAAGACTTTGAATTTTTCAGAAATTTTTACATTTCCTGTGAGGCAAAAAATCACATTTTCCATCTAAAAATAGAATTAGCAAAGATCCAATTTATATTCCTTTGGGTGTATACCTGAAAGTAGTGAAAGTTGGGTTTCAAAGAAATATTTGTACAACCATGTTCATAGCAATATTATTCACAAAGCCAAATATTCAAAGTAACCCCGGAATCTATAGGGAAAGGACAAACAAAATGTTAAGTACATACAGTAGAATATTGTATAACCTTAAAATTCTGGTACAGGGGCTGGGAAGGTGGCTCAGTGGTAGAGTGCTTGCCTTGCATGCATGAGGCCCTGTGTTCGATTCCTCAGCACCACATAAGCAGAAAAAGCTAGAAGTAGTGCTATGGCTCAAGTGCTAGAGCGCTAGCCTTGAGCTGAAGAGCTGAGGGACAGTGCCCAAGCCCAGAGTTCAGGCACCATGACTGGCAAAAAATAAAAAATAAATTAAATAAATAAATAAAATTCTGGTACAGTAAATTCTGGCACATGATAGAACATAGATTAGGAAAAGTAAGTAAATAAGTAAATAAGCCAATCACAAGAGAAAAATATATCATGATTCCAACTCCAACCCCTGTGGCTTACGCCTGTAATGTTAGCTACTCAGGAGGCTGAGATCTGAGAAGAGAGGTTGGCACCAGCCCAAGCAGGAAAGTTTGAGATGCTTATCTCCAAATAACAACCAAAACGCTGGAAGTGAAGCTGTAGATCAGGTGGTGAAGGACCAGCCTTCAGAAAAAGCTAAAGGACAGTGACCAGGTCCTAAGCTCAAATCCAGTACCACACACACGCAGAAAAATAATACTCATTTTTGGCTTTTTTGCTTAAGGCTGGCACCCTACCACTTGAGCCATGCCTCTAGTTCTGATTTTATGTTGGTTAATAGGAGATGAGAGTTTCTGGATTTCTGGGATTTGTCTGCCTGGGCTGGCTTTGGTGCCCAGGCAACCTCATCTTCTTCCTTTTTTTTTTTCTTTCCTCTTGTTGGTCTAGAACTTAAACTGAGGGTCTAGGCACGATCCCTGAGCATGGCTGAAGTGGTAGGGTGCCAGCCTTAAGCAAAGAAAGCCACACAAGAGTATCAGGCCCTGAGTTTAATCCCTAGTACTCAAAAAGAAAGAGAAGATGGAAAAGGAAGAGGAAGAGAAGACTCAACTTTAAAAATTCATCTGTTTGCTTTGGGGCTTTTTATGGGGAGTAAAGGAAGGGTACAGAAAGGGAAGGAAGAAAAGTGAACAAATGCAATCATGCTATTCAGCATACAGTATGTGGAAAATGAACTATGTAACTTGTGGGCAGGGACAGGAGGAGAAAATGGGGGAAAGTGAAGGAATCGGCATCATTGTCTAAAAAAAGAAATGTACTCCTTACCTGACATGAAGCAATAACTATTCTGTACAACACAATAACAACAAAATTATATTAATTTTAAAAAGAATTCAATGTATATCCTACAAAATTAAGAAGAATGATGGGAGGAGTGGGGAGGGAAGGGATGTGTGAGAATGTTGAAAGAAGTGACATTGCTCAAGATGCATGTATTCACAAACTGCTTTGTTGAATAAAACCGCCTTTGTCTAACTACTTGAAGATTGAAAAAATAACTTAGGCTGGGAATGTGGCTTAGTAGTAGAGTGCTTGCCTAGCAGGCATGAAACCCTGGGTTCCATTCCTCAGTACCACCTAAACAGAAAAGGCCAGAAGTAGCATTGTGGCTCAAGTAGTAGAGTGCTGGCATGGAGCAAAAGAAGCTCAAGGACAGTGCCCAGGCCCTGAGTTCAAACCTCAGGACTGGCAAAAAAAAAAGCAAAAAACCTTTAAAACATCATCTGTTCCTTTGGTATCTTCCCAAACTTGTCCTATCTCTTCAGACTTCTGCTATATTTTATTGTTTTGTTTTTTGGGTTTTTTTTGGGTCCGGTCGTGGGGCCTGAACTCTGGGCCTGGGCACTGTCCCTCAGCTCTTCAACTCAAGGCTAGTGCTCTACCACTTGAGCCACAGTGCCACTTCCGGCTTTTTTTTTCCTGCTTATGTGGTGCTGAGGAATCAAACCCAGGGCCTCATGCATGCAAGGCAAGCACTCTACCATTGAGCCACCTTCCCAGCCCGTCTGCTATATTTTAGAGTACTTATATAACTGGTTTATTTTTTAGGTAGTTGTATGAAGGAGTGCCATTCAAAAAAACAATGCATTTTGGTCAATGTTATTCCTTTGAACATTCTCACTCCTCCCTCCAATTCCACCCCCCTTTCCTCCCTTCTCTTAATTTTGTAAGATATACACTGAATTTTTAACTGCATTTTCTACCCTTCCTTCTCTTCATTTGACTTGATTAGCTAGTATCTATCGCCTCCTGTCAGCCCCTGAGCTCATAAAGTACTGCATTTCCTACATCTTTATATTCTCATAGGCTATGTTCCCCATACCTAGCAGGTACATAAACATTTTGCTTAAAGTATGGACAAACGATATGCTCTATACAGCAAACTAAGTGTCCTTCCTCTATACCGCAGGGTTTCTGATTATCCTTTAGAAACAGAAGAAGTGTTGAACAGGAGATTACACTTGATTAAAATAAAGAGATTCAGGCTGGGAGGTGTAGTTCAGTGACAGATCACTTGCCTAGTATTTCACA